ATACCAAAAAAATTAATACAATGCATACTCAATATAATATGATCCAACTAATTGATTATGACCCAATTATTTTAGAAAATTGTGTAACATGCTTTGACGTTAAATCAATCAAAACTATAAGTTGAGTCTGTATCATGTTATCATACCATGTCAACAATTATCACTCTTATATATTAGTCGATTTTTTGTTATATCCCTTACTAATCAATTTCGATAAATTTTTCAAAACACACAAACCTTATACTTTAGTTGATTCCACAAGAAAGTGGACGAAGAATATATATTTTTGTACATATTTATTAATTTGTATAGTAAATTGGAGACATTTTTAACATTTTCAAATCTTGAAAAGTCTACTTGCAATAGGAAAAAATAATTTTTATTAGTGAGGGTATAATGATAAATTAAATTTGCATGTGTTTTCTTTCTTTTCATCTTTCTTTCGGTACCAAATAATAAAAAATTAATCCATCCAACTTTTCATTCGTCATAACAAACAAAAATAAGAGAGAGTGATTTTCTTTCTTCTAATGATGAAAAGTCTATCTTTTATACTTTTTCATCCTTTTTATTTTTCATACTTCCTACCAAAAAGACCATTAAAAAAAATAATAGACTTAACTATTTATTAATAAGATTAAAAACGGACTTACCTTTAAATAAATTTTTTTTGCGAACTAAATTCATTATAAGTTCTTTAAAGGGAATTCAACCCTAATTTTTTCTTTTTTAGGTTGTTTCACTATGGGCCTGGGCCCACTAGGCCTTAATGTCAAAATATGTGACGCAAGGAGTTGAAAGTGGGCCTTATCTTTATTGGACACCGATAGCCGATAGGTTGACAACTGTCAATACTATGGTTGATATGGTTAAGACTCCAGAGATATCTCTCAGGTTAAAGAGATCACACGTAAATACGTGATGGATTGACACGTATCCATCCAGGGTCCACCAGCTGACAGACCGTAGTGCATTAGCTGACACCACTAACACTTTGCATCCTTTCTATAATCCTATCCCATCCCATCCCGGGATTGTCTTTCGCCTCGACCCCAGTCCTATCTTCGCTTTTCTCCACCAACAACCAGTGGCGGAGCCATGTTTATGGCCCAAGGCCAAGGGGCATGCCCCGTCAACTTTTTAAAATTAGACATTATACCATTAAAATTATATTTTGATCATATTTTATATATCATTCAAATTCTTAAAATTATAATTTTGATTTTAATTTTTCTTCTTAACTATTTGATTAAATTATGTTCAACCATTCGCTATTAAAATTGTTACATTTTGCTTCAATCATTAAATTTTAGATTGTTTTAAATTATTAATGGTGTAATTAATTTATCTCTCACATCTAATAATTCAACTAATTTCGATTAACTTTATTCATTTTATTAAAAAAAATAATTATACTATATCATGTGAGATTGATTCTTATATATTCCATGCATGTAAATATCATAACATTAATGATCTAATTGAACAATTCACATCGAGTAAAAACTATATCATTATACAACTATTTAGTCTCCTTGAGAAGAAATTATGGCTTCATCTTACCCCACAACCCAAGAAATTAGTTGTGCCAACACAGCATTAGGGTCCTCCTCTTCATTTACCGGTAGGGGTGTATCTCGAGCAGGTTGACAAATCAATTCAGACCCAACTCATACTATAAAATTTTTAATCCTAACTCAACCTATGTCTCAACTTTTAATTTAGTATTTTTCAAATTAATTTAAGGTTCAATTCAAACTAGTAATTCAGATTCAATTTCAGAGATATGACATAATAATTTGACCAACTAAAAATCAAAATAAATTAAATTGAATAAAAATGTCAAATATGGTTAAATCATATATGTGTGTATATATATATAATTGTTTTTAAAAAAATTCAGGTTGAAACTGAATTATGAATTCAAGTTGAACCCTTGAAATTTAAAAATTTCAGCTCAAATCCACCACAAATTGCTCTATTTATTCAAGTTGAATTAACCCATTCAATTTACACGCCAGGTGTTTTATATACGTAAGAGACATCTAGTAGGATAATGCGTAAGGGATTGACACGAATCAGTTTATCGTAAAGCACACCAGCCGACAGTTGATTCAATGGGGTCTGGACCATAGAGCTCTGCAGTGTTGACTTCACCGGGTTTCGGTCGGAGGTATTTACTGTGGGGGTGTGGAAAGTCAAACCTCGGTAGACTTTGTCTAGTTCAGTCGGTGTGGTTATTCATAAGTCACTTCTCTAATTAAGGGGTTTTTAGGACCAATAGCAAACTAACACGTCACTGCAAGCTTTTATTCTTCCTAAATCCGAATTCAAATCACATCACCTATCATTCATGTTTATTTTTATGTTTATTTATTTCTTGACAACGGAAACTTGAGTACATTTTGAGAATTGGAACTTCTGCCCTCGTGGGCGCATCGGAAATTCAAATGTGATACAATACAAAATTATATACATATAACTTAATGGAAACAAACAAATGTGGGAAAGATAAAGGTATTAGATCGTGGAACTTACAATAGCCTAAGCTTGATTAAAAATGTCACATAGGTACACAAAAGTACGTGAACATGTTTAGGTTAACGTAAAACAGTGTTAACATTGGCACAACAATAAGATTACTCTACCATGACTTGGACGTTGCATATTCAAATTCGAGCCACGAATATAAAGTTCCATAAAGATAGTAAAGCAGCAGGTTTTAAAAAAGCTTCATATCCAAGACATAAAAAATAAACACATAAAAGAGCAGAAGTTACTACTAAAGAATAAAGGCAAACAATTACCTGGCATGAAGTTTTAGTAACAAATAAGAAACCTAGTGTTACTCTATGGGTTATATTCCCCCAAAAGAGAAAACAACTCCAGTTAATAAGTGGTATGTCCTCAAGCATGAATGATACCAAGTATAAACACTATCTAGTAATTGAATGGAATTATATGTATGTGTTTTGGAAAGAATCAAAGATGTGTGTGTGTGTGTGTGTGTGGTCATCCCCCATCTTTCTCCAAGGTCTATAAGGACCTGTTTGTTATGTTTTTTGGAGGAGTTTGAATTGACTTGTTCAAACTCGGGTTTGACCCAAAGATGGGATTCAACATTCAATGTAGTTCATACCCATGTTTAGTGTGCGCATGAATACATGACTGTTATAATAATATATTTATACATAAATAACTATTGTGCCCCTTAATCAATTTGTATATATAAAATATACAAAATATATAGGGGTATAAATATCATTTGTATGTTAAACCCATTAACCCACACATGAAACCCAAGTATGTGGGTTTCATGACCGGGCCGGGTTTCAAACCCTAGATTAAATACATAGTTGTCAAACATGAGTTTAAGGGGGTTTAATCCCCAACCCAGGATCCAAAACCCTCCCAAACCCACATACCAAACATGTCCTAAGTGGTTCCAGCACTAAGAATCTGGATATTCCCATCCTCTCTGTCATTCCTTTCACCACTATCCTCCTCTCTATAATTCTCCTCTCTTCTGTGTCAAATTTTTATTTCCTCTGAACCAAACAACAAATAATAAATTCAGTTTAAACAAGTTGTGTCTGTGTGTGTAGGGCAGCAGCTTAAACAAGTTCAGTTTCTTAGGCAGGCACATGAGCAACGTTAATGTACCAATCAAGCTGCTGACATTTCATGGATAATCACTCCCTGAAATGTGGTAATGATGCATTCAAAGCTGAAAATAATCTTTATCTGGGTCCTATGTCAGTATGTTGACGTGCAAAAAACATACATTTGTATGGAACATAAGTAAACATACTGTGTAACAAAAATCTAGGTTGTGTACAATTTTGAATTGCAGTTACCATCAAAGTCACCAACAATAGATAATATCCATACTCCAATAGCATTTAGCAGGACCACAAAGCACCATCAAAATCACCAATGATAGAAAATATCTGTACTACAATTGCATTTAGAAGGACCACAAAGCACAATCATATATATTTCCAATGTACCAAAAAAAAAAAAAAAGCACAATCATATTGTGGAACAGTAACAAGAGATTATCCATCTGAGAGGCTTATGCACAACCTTTTCTTTATGAAGCACAACCATAGACTATTCATTGTTCTTGGCCAATCTTATCTTTCAGCTTCAATATATTAGTAGTTTCAAAGTTCTACATTTCCAAGTTGTTTTCACATTCTCTGTTCCATCAATTTCACAGTTCAAAAAACGTCATGAACATCTGCAAACAAGTACACAAACTTTGAGTAGATTCAAAAGTTTATCGAGAATTCTAACATATTGCAACCAATATGCATATTAAAAATCTTTTGACACCATCTCCCTTCTTTTCGTACTTCTTTGTTGTTCGTATCAACTTAAATCAAATTGCTTTGCCTCATTAAAATAGCATCAGAACGCGTTAATTGTGAAGAGATATCATCTGTAACAGCTTCCTCCAAGCCTTACCAGTTTAGCTATAATTTCTCAAAAATGCGTACATTTATAATCAGCCTATTCAACTCCATCATTCTAAGCATGTTCGTTGCCTAATTAGTGTGTTAACTTAAATTAGGGTGAAATACAATCTAATGGCATTTCATGGTCGGGGCACTGGGTTTGATTTTTGATTTGGGTATTGTTGCCTTCTAATTTGGAAGGTGTTTGATGGTTGATGATTGAGATGCTTTAGATTTTGGTTATGATGTGTTGAGAGAGAGAGAGAGAGATGGTGTTAGAGATAAGGCGACAGATAAAGGAGTGGTTGCTTACTTCAAATTAGTTTTTCTCATGTAAAGACAAGTATATCCACTTCTGGGTGGGTTTGGGCATCCTCTATATATATATAGGAGCACTAAAAAATTTGCTTGTGAAGAGGAAGAAATACTAACACTACACAGTTTAGAATTCGTCTTAGGAGAAGACAATCAAGATAAACAATCGCATTAACCTTATAATTTATAGTATGCAAGCATACATGAGTGCTTAATGGGAGTCCATGTGACCTCGCTGCCAATATGGCGAAGTTTTTAGAGAATTATGCACCCTCAAGAAGCTCAAAATTGCAGTCTTTTGGCACAAATTTCTTTAAGCAGCAATACATAATAAGATTGAATTTATGCATTCCAGCATATACTAATGCTATCAAACTAAGGACACCTTTCAGATCCATTATCCTTGTTTTTTACAGGTGCAAAGTAGATCATAGTTAAACCATCAGATTTTTCCATGCACTGTGTTTCAACATTCCTTCTTCTCTCACAAAGTCATTAACATCCCCAACACAGTACTGTGGCTAAGTCCAGAAAGTCCTGTGAGCAGCTTTGGAATGGTAAAAGAGTGGCCCAAGGACAAAGCGTTAAGAGTAGCATAAAGAGAAAAAGGTTGTATCTTAATGAAATCCCCACTACTTTAAGAAGCCTAATCTTACAATGCTCACAGTTCCCTAATTTCCACAGAGAAGCTTCCATTTTACCATTGAACTATTGACACTGATGCCAAAATGGCACTTTCAACAATCTTCAAATGGTTAATTTGCAAGCAAAGATCAACAATAAACACGCTTCACACTGATTTGAAGGAATAACCTTGTAAAACTTAAGGCATGAGAGATAAAGGTGAGTGGTGCACCAAACTCTAATTAGGTAAAGCATAAGACGTAGTTAAGCTCATCATCCAAATGCATCCACCAAAAGGAGATTATAGTTCTTCTCATCCTTTCCCTGGAGAACTCTATCAACTCAGATCGTCTTCTTCATTTCATTAAAAGAGAATATCTGAAAAGAAAAACATATCAACATGTATAAGGTTTGGGAACAAAAGAGTTGGCAGAGAGCCAACAGATTGACTTTGGCACTTTTCCACACAATGCCTCACACTATTACCCCCTCTATCAGAAAAATGCCATGACTATGACACAGTTAAGTTAACACATAAGCGCAACATCACTTCATGCTAGGTAACCCCTTCGTTAAGGCTACCAATGAATTATCAAGATATTTCTTTTCCTGGTGAAGAGGTCCAAAAAATGCTTCAGGTCTTGGGTTCCCATGAGCGCAAAGGAATCATGTGTACACCTAATTAACATTTTACATATACTAACTTCATACAAAAGAGGAAGGGCTGAAAGATGTGTGTATGGGGGAGCCCAATGGACGAAGTAGGATATTATTGGACATACTTCAATAACTAAAACTGCATGAGGTCCCACAGATCTACATGTCAGGGTTAACCAAAAATAAAACTCCATCACCATGAATAAGAGAAGAACTGTTTACCTCTGCCAATATGACCAATTTTATGCTCCCTCTGAATCATTTTAGCTTCAGCTCAAAATTCTCTTGCAAGAACCAGGAAAGATCTTCAGTAAGTATATTGGGATTTTAATGTCTGTGAATATGAATTTTCTGGTAATAATTTCAATATCCTAAGCAGCGGCCCATACCTGTAAATTTTCACCAAGAGAAAAACAAGCGGATTAGAGTGATGAAGCTCTTCAATCACATTACAAATAGTGCTCACAAAATGAGTCTGAATATAAAACAAGTCCTACAAATGATTAAAAAGCACTAAGCACAATTAATTGGAATGCATAAGTGAGGCCTGCCTCTGAATGGTTAAAAAAAAACTCCTAGATCATGTTTTGCAACCAAAAAATCGCACATTGCCATCCAAGGGATGAAGAAGGGAAGAAAATCACCTTTGGCCTGATGCTACATATGAAGAGAGGCCCTAATATTTGTATGTCAAGGGCATAGAAAGTGAGCATAATCTCAGTTATGGAGTTTTAAGAACTACCTTGTCTCCATATTGGATTCTCGACCAAGCACAATAGGAAGGGGACCAGCCAGGTGGGTGCAATAGCACCAATGGCAGTTGTTTTCACCAAAGCTTGTTTTGCAGCATGAACTGCTATTGTGGTAGCATGACCTCATTGCCAGTACTGGCAAGGAAACAAAAGCTTTTGACATTTCAATAAATGATTGTAAACTCTACCAAAAAGAAATAAAGATCTTGGGAACTCAAAAATAGAATTCTAAAAATAAGACCAAATCTCTCGGAAACAACAATAGAAAGTAGGATCAGTGCATCCTATTGTCAGATTGGTTCTAAAATTACCTTGCTATCCAAATGTTGTTGAAGTACCATACGTGTTCTTAACACTATACGTCAGCTCATATTAATTAGATTCCCTATCTTCTTTGGATGGTTGTAATTTTCATGCCTGCCAAAAGCAATAATTTTAACACGTCTACTGCTATATTCTAAGCGAAAGGAGCATTGTACCATTTACATGGTGATAGACCACCTCCTGCAGACCATCCTATAGAGCATTGTCTTAAACAGAGGAATACAACTTCAGCCACTTCTGCATGAGTAAACCAGCAGCACCAGCTACACATGCAGCCTCAATCATGCAGCAGCATCTCCACTCATCAGACACCCCAAAGATCACATACGCCATCACTTACATCAAGGGTGTAGTTTGTAATAGATTCTGTACAGTTGTAATTCTGTTAAGTAGTTTCACAAACACCCACATGGTTACAGTCAGTTAGAGATTAGTTAGAGAGTTCATAAGAACCACTATATAAAGAATCTACTGTATTCTTATTCCCTTAAGCTCGTGAATAATAAACAGAGGATTCAATCTTTCTATCTTGAATATCATCTTCTTCTTTGCATAGTGTCTTCTATTTAAAATATAATTGAAATATCTTATATTCTTCTCAATAATATAATCATCCACATGACCTATGGAATGAAATAGTAAGACTGACTATTTAAATCTCAGCAATCAACACAAGGCATTTCCAACAATCTGAATCGTCTCACCCACTACCTGGTAGAAATTCAGAGTGTCACACACAACACATAAATATTTTAAACGTAGAAAGATCTCAAGTGTGAATCCAATGGTCGTGCAGTCGTAGTAAGGTAAAACAGATTGGTATAATAATTTCAATAATCTTTATTGACTTTTGCATCATAGAATTTTTTTTTTTTTTTTTTGCTCCTTGTGAAGATGAAATGGTTTGAACCAATAATTTCAAAAGATTTATTTTTACTTTTTCACCGCCAATATCCGCCACTATTGTCTATTTCATAGCTTCATCCACCATCAACATTTACCACCAATATCCGCCACTATCGTCTATTTCATAGCTTCATCCACCATCAACATTTACCACCAACCAACAACCCCGCTCGAGCCCCTTATCCTCACACACCTTGACCTTTAACCATAGCCACCTCTACGGTTCTCCCTCACCACTGCCTCCTGCCCACACTACCGCAGAAAACCACTACGCCCACCACAAACACCTCCTTCTCCACTTGACAATCACAGTTAGTTTATAATTTAGACATGTGCTCATTTATATGACATTTTATTCTATGCTAGTTTTAATAATTCCTAATCCAACAATCTTAAACCTCAAACTCAATATTTGTTTCAATAGTTGAATTTTGTTTGAAATTAATATAAATTATTAAAATGCAATTATGTTGTGGATTTTTGTGAATGATTGAAGTTGAATTTTAATTGTTGTGTATCTTGTTGGTTTTGAAATTGTGCATTACTAAAACTGAATTTTTTTTTGTGTGAATTGTTTTGAATTTCAATGGATTTAGACAAGGATAATTAGAATTGTGAATTATTGAATTTGAATTTCATTATTATCGTTGGGAATTATTGTGAATTATTTCAGTTATGGATTATTGAGATTGAATTTTATTGTAAATTGGTCTGAAGTTTAATGTGAATTTATGGCAAACTTTAAATTTGTAGAGTATTGAATTGAATTCTGTTGAGAATTATAACGGATATTGAAATTCAAATTAAAATTTGGGATAGAATTTGAACTATTGAAACAAAGAGTGAGTTTGAGATTTAAGATTGTTAGAATAAGAATTAATAAAATTAGCATGGGATAAAATGTCATATAAACGGGCACATGTCTAGATCAAAAACTAAATAGTGATTGTAAAGTGGAGAAGGAGGTGTAGGCGGTGGGCAAGGGGTAGTGGTTAGGGAGAACCGTAGAGGTGAATGTGGTTAGGGAGAACCGTAGAGGTGAATGTGGTTAGGAATCGATGTGGATTCAGGTGAGGATAAGAAGTTGGAGTGGGGTTATTGTTGGTTGGTGGGGGATGTAGTTATGAAATTGACAATAGTGGTAGAAGTTGTGTCCTAGTGGCATTGGTGAGTGATGGTGGTGAGCGAAAATAGAATAAAAGTGATAGACTGAGCAACAATATTGGTGGCATTAGATGGTCATGTCGCTAGGGGTGATGGACGACATTATGATGTCGTTAAAGCATTGGTGGATAGAAGAGATGGAAAAATAAAAGAGAAATGGAAAGGAGTAGAGATATGAGCATGAGTGAGGAAAAAGGTGCGGAAGACAATGGGAAATAGATGAGGCAAAGAATACGTTAGCGTGAGTGAAGAGAGTGAGAGATATAGGAGGCAAAATGAAAACTGAAAAGATTTCTCTCTGACTATTGGATGGTATATACTCAATTTTGTAGTCAAGTACAAATTATTCGTTCTAATGATGGGGATGAGTGTGTTTATGGGATTGCCGAGAGAAAGAATCGTCATCTATTTAGAAGTTGCAAGGCTTTTTTTATTATCTACTGAACATTATAAGTTTGTCCAATTGATCCATCTCTCAACCTCTACGACCAATGTTTTATTTGAAGGCACTGAAAATAGAAAAGATAACAATATCAATTGATCATGTAATAAATCAAAGTTGACAATGTAAGCACAAGATCCAAGTCTAAAGTTTCTCAAGACCTCTAAATAGACAAAATTTGAAAGAAAAAAAAAGGATATACGCAAGTTTGTAAGCTCAAGATTAGAATAGAGCCATTAGAGTAACAAGATGCAATGAATAATTCCAAGCTGAAGGAAACAATTTTTGAAGAGACAAATGCACAAAAAAATAATACATGGGAATTAGTTGAGTAACCTTTGGGGAAAAAGTTAGTTAGGTGCAAATGGGTGTTTAAAGTGAAACAGAGGGCTCATGCCTCGGTCGAAAGATACAAGGCTAGATTGACTTTAACCTTTTATTTCCTCCCCAAGTAATTAGATTTTGCTGTCAATATTTAACAACTCTTATGGGAAGATAATAGAAAAAGAAATAAAATACAAGTTATCTAATACAAGAGCAAACGCAAACACATAAAAGCAAAAAAATGCTATGCAACTATAGGTTGTGTACAACACGAAAATAACAACGAATGAGTGCTAGGTGTTGGAAGTAATACAATAATGATTATAACATGTACCAAACACAAAAAAAGAAATAAAAATAGTCATCTGTAAAACATATTTTGCATAAAAGAAAGCTACAGAAAAAATGGGACAAGCAAATATACTTATCTTTCCACTCCCAAACTCGCTTTGTAAACTCATCTCTACGACTCTACCCAATTCAACTTTCCTTATTCGTTCATAAGCTAGCATCATTTCCACACCCAACTAAAGTAAGACACATTAGATTAATTATATGCAGAGAAAATGAAAAAATGCCTTAAGGATAACAAAAAGCAATACGAAAAAAAAAGAACGAGTGACACTCACTTATTCGACAAGCAGATATATATATAAATACTAGATTGCATGGGCCACATTCTTACACAACACATACAAAATTTAAATACACAATTCTCCAAAACTAGCAGAAGACATCAATGAATTTGTTTATCATTATTAACACAAATCGCAATCATACATAAAATAGAAGCATAACTCCTCTTATTATCTAATAAGCATTATAAGTTTGTCCAATTGATCCATCTTTCAAACTCCACTACCAAAATTTCATTTGAAGACATTAAAAAATAAAAAAGATAACAATATCAATTGACCATGTAATAAATCCAAGTTGGTTGTGCAAAAGCTTGATCCAAGTCTGAAGTTTCTCAATCCCTCTAAATAGACAAAATTTGAAAGAAAAAAAAAAAGATACACACAGATTTATAAGCGCAAGATTAGAACAAAATCATTAGAGTTACAAGAAGCACTGAATGAATCCAAGTGGAAGCAAGCAATATGTGAAAAGGTGAATGAACTTCAGTAAAATAATATGTGGGAACTAGTTGAGTTATCTGAGGGAAAGAAGTTAGTTAGGTGTATAGGACTCATGGTTCGGTTAAAAGATACAAGGCTAGATTGGTCTCCAAGGGCTTACACAGACTTATGGAATTGATTATTAGGAAACATTTGTCTCGGTGGCAGAGATGAATTCCATTCGGGTATTTACTTTCTAAGGCAACACATCGAAGTTAGCCTCTTCAACAACTTGATGTGCATAATGTGCTTCTACATGAAACCTGGAAGAGAAAGTATAAATGGATGTCCCACCAGGATTTGAAGTCCCCTCAACAGATGGTAGCAAGTTATGGAGACCAAACAAATCATTGTATGGGCTTATGCATTCACCCAAGCTATGTTGAGATATGACTATCATCGATTGTCATTAAGATTATACTTTGTTTGTTAAACATTTTTCCACAGAAAGGTGATTGCCCTCGTCGTGTATGTTGATGATATCACACTTTTACTAGCGATGATGTAGAGGAGATGGTGAAATTAAAGGCATATGTGGCTCAAGAATTTCAGATAAAAGATTTGAGAAGTTTAAAGTATTTTTTAGGCATTGAGGTTGCGAGATCTAGATGGGGCATATTCATTTCATAGTGAAAGTATGTGTTTGATCTACTTAAGAAGATAGGTATGCTAATGTGCAAAGCCAGTTGATACTCCAATTAAACAGAATCATAGGTTGAGAGAGACTGTTGATGATACTCATGTACATAAAGGCGATATCAAAGACTGTTAGGCAAAAGCTCATTAATCTATCTCATACACGTCCGAATATTGCCTATACAGATATGCGGTATCCAATGTATACACTTACCTCGTGAGTGTCATATGGAAACGGTCAATTGAATTTTGAAGTTTCGTAAACTAGCATCCAGTAAAGGACTACTATATTCTAAGCATGATCATCTATAGGTGGAAACCTATTCAGATGCTAAATGGGCTAGACCAGTTACAAATAGAATATCAATATCTGGATAGTATACCTTTTTAGGAGGAAATTTGGTATCATGGCTTAGCTAAAAATAGTCAGTTGCGGCCAAATCTATTACATATGCAAAATTTAGATTTTTGGCTCAGAGAATTTATGAACTGTTGGGAATGAAATCCATATTGGAGAAATTTAGTTTTCATTCCAAGGAACCGATGAGATTGAACTGTGACAATAAAACAGTAATTCATATTGTTCACAATCTAGTTCGCTTGACATAACCAAGCATGTTGAGGTTGACAAACATTTCTTCAAGAAAAAATTGGGTTCCCGCTTAATATGTATTGTATTCGTGAAAAGAAGGGATCAGCTTGCAGAATCGAGCACATGTCTAGGGCATGTGTAAATACAAGAATGAGTTGTAGATCACAAACGTTTCTCTGATAAAAGTATATTAGTGACCTAATAATTATCTTAAATTCTCATACCTTTATATATATGTATATACATGTCATAGGATATGAGTTTTTGAAAATATACGCTCTATAAATTACAAGAAATATTTAGAACATTTAGTTTATGATCTAATAGTTAGAGATCTATTTTCAATTTTCATTTTGTCGCCTATATCTCTCATTCTCTTCACTCATGCTAACATATTCTCCGCCTCATCTGTCTCTCGTTCTCTTCCGCATCTCTATCCTCACTAATACTTATATCTCTACTCATTTCCCTCTGATTCTTCTGTCTCTACTATTCACCAATACCACAACAATACCATAGTGTCATCCACCACCACCAGCAACATGACCATCGAGCGCCACCAACAGTGTTGCTCGGTTTATTTCTTCTATTCTTGTTCCGCTCACCACCACCACCAACCAATGTTATTAGTACCACCAACGTCTGCCACTTTTATCAATTTCATAACTCTATCCATCATCGGTATTTACCACCAACCAA